CCACACTGCAGGACGGCAAAATTTTAGCGAGGCGGCCCAAAATTTTGGCAGGGTGGTCCGCCCTGCTAAAACAGCCCGTGGAGAACACTGGCAGTAACCTTAAAAGGAAAATAAAGTTTACATGATCAAAATTGAGAATTGATGAAGCGTCATTTGTTCATTTTTGCTCGGTCATGTTTGTGCTAGAATTTGAGCCTAAGGTGCAACAGAGATCGTACAATACTTGGCAATTGATGCATTCTGTCGAGAACAGTGTCACTTCCTCCATGCTTCCCTGAGCCTTATTTCTTTCTCCTTGGGAATGCAGAGACTGACCAGGACTTTGACGTGACGGCCGAGATGCTTGTCCACGAGTACGACGATGAGCGGACCATCGACGAGGAGGAGAGTAACGAGATGGGGGAGTGCTTCAGCAACGAACTGGATGATCTGGCAGAGGTAATGGCCACCCGTTCCCTTTCCCTCGAGGTTGTTAGTCTGCAGTACACACCACCAGATACTGGCCGCTCGCCCTAATTTGAGTGATCATGTTTTAAGTAGAGCACGAAGCGGGGAAATATATCGCCAGAATTTGTCAGTCAAGTAATGTAATTAATACAAGAACTGACAGAATTTTGGTCAGGGTTCTGTGACCGTGTAATCACTGTTCATCCTTCAAAATGACAACATCAAATGGCTGATTTTGTCATTGTCGGCATACCCGTAGGAAGCGGCGATCCCAGTGGACCAGCTGTGGCGAATGTACGCCGCTCCCTCGCCCGGCACGGCGCCCCTCGCCCAGCAGGATGACTCCACAGAAACAGATGGCAGCACAGACGAGATCCTCAACTCCCGCAACCTGACACTGGACAAGGAGGAGATCGCCCAGGACCTGCTGCCGGATGGGGGCGGCGACGCCGAGGAAGCCGCTGGGGAGGAGAGCATCGACGACCTGCACAGCGACCTATTCCCCGGCCCTGGAAGCCATGCCAGCGACAGCCCTGGCAGCTATGGCACCCACAGGCTACTTCGATGTGAGTCGTGACATTGCACTTCACCAAAACCAAGATCAACTCTCATTCATAACATTCGTGGACAATTATAAAAAATTTCCATTCACTTACCCCAGCTACAATTTATATGCAACTAGCCACCAACTTTTGGATTATAATTCCATCAACAGACAAAAGCAGGCGACCGGCAGACATATCTGGCTTGTCAGTCAATTGTCAAGGCACAGCTGTATTAAGTTGTATTAACCCTAACTGCCTTGGACCTTTTGGCTAGGATACACCCTCAATCCTTCAAAATCCTCCGATTGCACCAACCAAACAATTGCATGCACACTCACTCCTCCACAATCGTTCAATATTTCTTGAAGGTGCTCCTTGGAGAGGTAACCACTGCCCCAATCGTTCAAAACCCTCCAGGCAATTCTTGCCATTATGTTGAGGCAGCGCGAATGGGATCCTGTAGCAGTGTGGAGGTTTCCATGTACGACTGAGGCATGAGTTGATGCATGGCTGAGCGTTAACAACGCGAGGTCTAACCCAAGAACTTGATACCTTTGCAGCCTTTGCAATCGGCAGTGCAGCCATTCAGCCTCAGTCCTCCAACCTCCTAGCTTTTCTGCCTGGCAGATTTTGGAGGATTGGGGAAGGTTAGGGTTAATGATCGTAGCTAATAAGTTCTGATTCACGTAGGCCGAAGACAGCCATGCGACTGATGCTGTCTGAGAGGAGAACTTTGCCCAGAATGGCTGTCTGCACAGGAGGGTTCAGACAGCCAAGTGACTGTATTTAGAGTTTGGTACATTTTTCCACGAGAATGGGCACAGGTTCAGAAAGAGTAGCTGAGATGATTATACTATACTTTGAGTTGAGAACATTTCTAGGTTTCTAAAAGTTCCCATGTTGACGATGCTTCTTTGTTTTTTATTTCCTGCAGCAAACACTGCTACTGACGGGGATTCCGATTCAGGCTCCGAAGACTCTGATTATGTCCCACCAGAAGATTGGAAGAAGGTGAGTTTTTCAGAGCGTCCTTTTTTTGACCTCTCGTTTGAGCGCCTCTATGACAATTTGGTCGGAAACTCTGCTGAGCGCATCAGCAAACAGCAGCAGTTGTCCAAGTGAGAAATTTGCCTGGAATAGACAGATCCAATGGGTCGACCATCCCCAAGGCAAAACAGCCCTCAGAGTTGGAGGTTGCTGGCTGCCAACGGATCCAACGGTGGCGCTGTTCAGTGGGTCTAGCTCCCCACGTCTCAGTGCCGGCAGTTCCTCCCACTGTTTGTTTGACGACAATTGGCATAGGTGAGCTCAAGGGGGATGGAGTGCATTTGGACAGCTAGGACATGCATGAATAGGCCTTTTATTTCATGCTTACTGGATTCTAACAGAACTCACCATGCAAGATGGCTGTCGTGCCCTCTAAGATGGCCGCTGAGCCACATAAGGTGTATCCGCTCCGAGCGCAGCAAAAGAAGGCGTGGTTTATTTGGCACTCGTCGCATAAGCGCGCATTTATAATGGAGATCAGTGGCGCGTTTGACGCGGAGCACGCTGAGTACACGTAACAAATTTATTTCTTAATGTATGGTCTTTGCGTACACGCAGAACGCCTGCAAGAACCCGCTTTGAAAACTTACAACCATCTGTCTTTCTTTTGCCGCTTGGGGGTGCACTTCAACTCGGTGTGGATTGCATGGCTGTGGATGTTTCTGATAACTTTCCTTTAGAGTTCTTCATAGCCAGCAACCTTTCTCGCTCCACCCAAAGTCATCTGTCATGCAGGAAACCAATGCCACATCCTGTGCATTTGGACCCACAACGGGCAGAAGGGGCAACAAGCCCTATGCGAAGAGATACTAACTAGGCAGTTCTTCCCTCCATCCTGCTCTGACACCATTGCCAATGTTAGCATGACCCTGACTTTCCCTTGCATTGTATTGTGTCTTCTCGTTGCAGACCATCAGCGTCGGAGCTGATTATCAGGCCGTCATCCCGGAAGGCTTGAGTCACTACGGCGATGCCCCAGGTAGGCCACACCAGAAAGCAACCAGCCAGCAAGCTAGCTAACCGATATTTTTCTTCATAATTTGATATATATTCAATGTTGAGGTCATTTTATGAGGGGCATCTTAACCAGACGTATACAGACCGCTGTATGGTGGACCTCGCGGCAGCTCATACAAATCCAGCAAGTCAAAATACAATCTACATCATGATACCTACCTTGCAATATCCGTCATTAAGGTTACGGCACCGGCTTAAACTGTGCATTGGTTGCACACGTGAAGTCTTACAGATTCCATTGTTTGCCGCTGTGTTTTTGACGTTGCGGCTTTTCGGTTTCCCTCGTGTGGCAGCCTACGACAACGAGGACAGACTACTCTGGGATCCTCACCAGCTGGCGGTGGACCCCGTGGAAGACTACCTGAGGGAGGTACAGCGACCGCCCCTAGGCACCACCGGTGTCAAGTCGCTACCGCTGGGCAGTCACGTCCGCGACGATGAAAGGGTAAGCCAGATTCAGAATGCCTCAGCTCGTCCTGATGCGAGGCATGCTGTCGCACCTTCTTGCCTCAGCAAACCACATACCTAGACGAGCCCGGTAGTGTTGTTTCAAATCTTGAGATTTTCAATTTAGGACTGCTGTGCTAGGTGTAAACCAATCATGCATAGTCTGTTTTACTATTCCTGTTCTTTCCCTCCCTTTCTAAACTTAGTGCATAAACAGACAAATCAGAGCTCTCTCTTGCATTGGTTTTGCTAAACTTTTGTTTCAGGAAAGCCCGCGTTCAGTATATTGTGGTTATTTCTTTTTATTTGCCCGCCCTCTAGTCGCTGTATATACTCTTGCAATGCGGGCACAATGTAGAAGAGGCCCTCAGGCGACATCGTATGCAAATAGCGCCCCCTATGGATGAGATGAGCTTGTGGTCAGAGGAGGAGTGTCGCAACTTTGAGAGTGGGCTCCGCACGTATGGGAAGAACTTCCACCTGATCCAGCAGAACAAGGTGAGGGTCGGTGCTAGCATGCCTTGCTTCGAACTCTGAGCTTAATTACACCCTCAGCTGTCGAGGGCTCAGAGGACTGGGGAAAATTTCTGCAGACGAGGCCAGATAGGAGTTGGGTTCCATTGTGTTGATGCTGTGGGTTTTTGTGCTCATCATGGTGAAATTTAGTGGTGCTTAGGAGAACGCGTGCAAGCATACAGTTCATCCACTAGATCTCCAGGCCAGAACAGGCCAGACCAGGCCAGGCTAGGAGTAGTAAACCGTTGTCCTCTGATTGCCATCCTCAGGTTCGGACGAGGTCGGTGGGCGAATTGGTACAGTTCTACTATCTGTGGAAGAAGACGGCGCGGCACGACAGCTTTGCAAACCAAGCCAGGCTGACGAAGAAAAAATACCATCTGCACCCGGGCATCACGTGAGTCACCCATGCAAAAAACTTACAGTTCATTGTCGAAAAAGACAATGAACAAAACTCCCAAGCTTCACATTTTCCCAGCCGTTTAGAGGAATTCAAATGAACTTTTTTACAGCGACTATCTCATCCAGTTTGGTGTGCTGAGATGTTCATGTATTCAACATTCTTGTGGAAAACAAAGTAGTCAGGTAACTGTGACTCACATCGTCAGTCCAGGGCAGCTTTGATCTAGGGCCACTAGTTAACTAGTGGTTGGTTCGTGACATACCTAGCGCATGTGCAGTGAAGTTGAGGTGCAAACGACCACAGTTAATCGTTGTCAGGTCGTTAGGCCAAAGGGGAGAACAGGTGGCTGTAGGGAGAGCAAAATAGCAAAAATAAAAGTGAAACTGGTCCTTTACTAGTGACATAGTTTTTTCAGTATTTTGCTTGTAATTGGTCCTCTCTGTATTGTGTTATTTAAAACGATTAATGGCAGCCACCGATATGACCAACCCCGGTAGGCTGGTCGTGAATAGTTGACTAGACTAGTCCAACCATCGTTGACTAGCCAACATTCAAGCAGAGTTAGTCGAACTGTGGTTAACTATGGTCCTTGATCCAACTTGCCGTAGACATCAGAAGTGGTGTATTGTGGGTGCTCAGTTTTGAATATGAAGCAGATTCCATCTGTATTTAATATTAACCTTTTTTTTTTTAATAAAGTGCATTTACCCACTTTTACCGGAGCTCTAGGCATTACATCATTTGTATGCTAGCTCACTGGGCCCTTCGTTCTTTACACCGTTTAAGCTCTCTCCGACGTATACAGGTCAATGCTGATGGCATGTCAGGCTCATCAAAGGCAACGGCCCTCTCTGCCTGCAAAGGTACCCATTTCTGTATCTGGGTGGAGAGAGGCCAATGGAAGTAAAGCGACTTGTTTGAGCTCGCAGCGTAGTGATTTTGTTTTGTTTGTATTTGGTCAGGGACTACATGGATCGCTTCCTGGACGATGCAGAGAGCCTTGTGAGTCCAATCCCATCTCACAGCCTCCTGGACAAGCACCGTCTGAACAACAAACTGGCCCAGCCGACTTCCATGCTGGCCACCCTCAACGGCGCGTCCCCGGCCGAGCTCCTGAGCAACGGCTCGCCGGAAGTCGGCGGCCTGGTCATGGGTGACCTGCCCAACGAGATGTCAGCCACGGGCGCAGCTGCGGCGGGCCTGGATGAGAGCTTGAAGCGTTCGGCCGATTTCCCGGACTCCAACGGGCCGACCAAGCACCGGCGAGTCGAGCCCGAGGTCGATCACAGTGGACAGCAGCAGGCCTTACAGGAGCTGGGCCTCCTGATGGAACCCGACCTGGAACTCAACAACAGCGTCCACTCCAGAGACAGTGTTGTCTCAGCAGACTCTGCCCGCCAAGCGCCCTGCCCGCCCCAGTCAGCGCCCCTCCCGTCAACTCAGGTACCCCCTCCTCCCTCCCCGTTGGTGAAACCTCTACGAGGCAGCCTCACCGTGGTACCACCCTCACACAGTGTCGCCTCGGACTCCGTACTAAACGTCCGGCCCCTCGTCACTAGCAATATGCAAGCTCCTAATCCGGTGGCCCAGTGACGGCCAAAACCAGGAATTAGAGTGTATCTTCCAAAGTAATACTAAAAAAGGTCGAACAAGCAAAAAATACACAGAGAGATGTATGAAAGTGGAGAGGCAGCCCCTGAGAGATCTGAGTAGTCCAGAGAGTTGATGCAGTCACCCCTCACCGTGCGTTCCCGAGTGAGAGAGAACCGTGATGTCCGTCTCCAGGAGCCTGTAATCAATATTTATTTATTTTTTCTAAGAGTGTGTAGTATTGCGATTCAGCGTGTGGTGTACGATGACGACATGTGTGACGCTACTTCTTGTGAGAGGCATCGGATGCGTTCAGCAGATGACAGAAAATCTCGGCATGTTTGGCGGCAGTCGGCACTGCTTGAAGGGTCGCCGGTGTAGCAACCGTCCCAGCATTTGTTCCACTGTTTCCGTGTCACTCGCGGCAGCCAACAATCCAACGTGAAACACAGCTTTCTACTTAGATACATCCCTCACACCAACCCTGAGGCACTCTCGGAACCAGGAGCTTTGTGAAAACAGGGCTCTCGGCTCTGAACGCGACGAATGCGATGCTGGGATGCAGCAGGCTTCAGTGCAAATGTGCACTGAAGTCCTCCCTTCCTTCATCAGCTGTTGTAACTCCACCTACGAGCTTTACAGGACACGGCTGAAATCATGTGAAGTTTGCTACCCCGTCAGTGGTTCATACTCAGAATTTGTACAACTTTAAAACAAAAAACAAGGCTGTACCATCTGAATATTTTCTCTACCTGGGTTTTTAATTTGATCGTGGAGAGTTTGGGCAGAAAGAAGTGAATATGATTAAAAACAAATTTCTGCACAAATCATACCGTGGCTTTCAACAGATTCTTGATGACTATTTCCATCAAAACCACAACAAACCTCGCAGTTAGTTTGTGTTATTCTTTGTCACCTGACTAGGAACGGGGCAGCTACATGGCTTGAAGGCTTGCGGCTAAAAAAGGAAGCGGCGACGACTTCAAATTTCATGTGCAGATAAAAAACGAATCGTGGAAATATGTGTATTCTTGTAAGTTTGCCTGGAAATAACACCGTTCAGTCCAAACTTTGTGGACGTGTCTAATAATGTACATAGTTTATAAATGACAAATGTGTAAATCCATTTAAATAGCCATACTTTTTAGGTTCTTTGGTATTTTATAACTCGAGAAGATGTTCAGAGGACAGGTTTTAAGTTAATATATTCAGGCCAAAAATTGGAAGTCGTATGATTTGAGGAGTTCCGATGCGTATATGTTTGTTACCTTGAAGTAGCATACGTAGAGTAGATCTGACGAACCTTTTGTGTACATAACTAGTCTATTGTTTTCTGCTCTGTCTTAGTCTCCTATTTCTAGAGTATCTTATTGTTGAAAGTACCGTTACTAATTTGGGGGTCATGACCAAATTGGCTAGATTCAACGGGTGCTTACGGAAGCTGACAGCCAACGGCTTGACGCATTGCCCACAGATGTTTGTGTGAAACCTAGCTGTAGCCTCATTATTTGGACATGGCTTATATCGTTTTGCAATCTTTTATCACCCTAAATGAATCTGAATGACATTATCTTCAAATGCACATTAAGAGAAGTCCTTATTTTCAAATTTCAGTGGGAATGTTCCCCTGCCAATGGTCAAGATATATACACTGTATCCTGTTGAAGACTGTAATATCTTGTATAATAGCTTATTTTAACCCTCCTATGCTGAAGTCACTCTTTGGGTCACTCGGTAAACACCTCCAAGAAGCACAGCTGTCTTGTGTTGTGCACTGCACTAACTGTCCCTCACAGGAATATCAGATTGCACTTTTGTGCTGCCCAACAACTGTGCTTCACTGTTTCCTGTGCATAATTGTAC